GTCTATCCGTATGTGATCCAGGAGCTCAAACCCACGCTGCAGGAGCTGGGCATCTCCACTCCAGAAGAGCTGGGCATCCATAAAGCCTGAGTCTGCTCGGATTCCTCAGCGCAGCTAACAAACAAGTTGGTTTCTTATCATGTGGTTGCTAGGGGTTGTGGGTGGTCACTAGGGCGTTGCTATGTGGTTGCTAGGGGTTGTGGGTGGTCACTAGGGCGTTGCTATGTGGTTGCTAGGGGTTGTGGGTGGTCACTAGGGCGTTGCTATGTGGTTGCTAGGGGTTGTGGGTGGTCACTAGGGCGTTGCTATGTGGTTGCTAGGGGTTGTGGGTGGTCACTAGGGCGTTGCTATGTGGTTGCTAGGGGTTGTGGGTGGTCACTAGGGCGTTGCTATGTGGTTGCTAGGGGTTGTGGGTGGTCACTAGGGCGTTGCTATGTGGTTGCTAGGGGTTGTGGGTGGTCACTAGGGCGTTGCTATGTGGTTGCTAGGGGTTGTGGGTGGTCACTAGGGCGTTGCTATGTGGTTGCTAGGGGTTGTGGGTGGTCACTAGGGCGTTGCTATGTGGTTGCTAGGGGTTGTGGGTGGTCACTAGGGCGTTGCTATGTGGTTGCTAGGGGTTGTGGGTGGTCACTAGGGCGTTGCTATGTGCTTTGGCTGGTCACTAGGGCGTTGCTATGTGGTTGCTAGGGGTTGTGGGTGGTCACTAGGGCGTTGCTATGTGCTTTGGCTGGTCACTAGGGCGTTGCTATGTGGTTGCTAGGGGTTGTGGGTGGTCACTAGGGCGTTGCTAGGGGTTGTGGGTGGTCACTAGGGCGTTGCTAGGGGTTGTGAGTGGTCACTAGGGCGTTGCTATGTGCTTTGGCTGGTCACTAGGTTGTTGCTATGTGGTTGCTAGGGGTTGTTGGCGATCACAAGGGTGTTGCTATGTGGTTGTGGGTGGTTGCTAGGGTGTTCAGTGTGGTGTTTCCTTCCATGAAAGTAAAATGTTTTCATCTGATATCATTTACTGATACTTTTAAATGCAAAAATGCATTAATTGCAGGAAGAGTTTCTTAAGCATCACTCGCTTTTAATACCTATTTTTTAATGCATCGATTTTTGCCCATATAACGATCTGTCTCTGTTTGTGTTTCAGGGATTTTGTGAATTCAACGGGGTTTTCTACCTCTCTGCTCACTGTACGACATTCAGGAAGTCAAACTCAGTCCCGTCCTGTATAAAAATAAAGGGCCTAATAAACGAAGCAATACTGAAAGAGTTTGAGTGTTTTTGTTTGTGTTTGGATGATGAGATGAGAGTTTGTGCAGCAAACACTGACACTGAGGTTTGTATCTGCTTCGCAAGCTCAACACAGACATTATAACAGATCACTACCGTGTTTGTGATGATTGCAACCGTGAACTGAATTTATTTTTTTGACATTAAAATGCTAAAACTGTGAGCCAAAGAAGAAAGAAAATTGTCTAAACAGAGTCCCATCGTCATTAGAAATATTCATTTTGCAGGGTTTCTGCAGGTCTTAAAAAGTATTAATTTACCCTTCCAAAAATAAAGGCCTAAAAATGTCTTAAACCAGAGCAGAAAGTCTTAAATTCATAAAGTCATGGTATTAAATGTTGCATACACTGCAAAATAAAATAATTTTAAAAATATATATATATATTTTTAAAATTATTATATTTTGCAGTGCATGCAACATTTAATACCATATATATATATATATATATATATATATATATGTATGTGTCTTAAGTCATTTTTGTTTTGTTTTCAAATACAAATATCTAAACATTCTTAAATCAAGCTTTTTTTTCTTTGACTTAAGTTGATTTTTGTAAACCAGCTGGCAGATATTTGTTCTTGTTTTAATCATAAACTCCCTTCATTTTGATCAGTTTCCCATAAAACCAGGTGTAATAAACTTGATGTAATAAAATAACTAAAACTGAAATTAAAATGAGTAAAAACAATATACACATTAAAAAAAACAACTAATAAAAATGACAAAAAAATCTAATTATTAAAACATTGACTAAAAATTTAAAAAAAAATTAATGTCTATGAATTTTATACATTTTTATTTCAGTTTTGGGTGTTTTAGTAGTCAAGATTCAAGATTTTTATTCATCACATACACAGTTATATAGAGAATATATAACCAGCAGTGAAATGTAAGTCAGGTCCGCTCCATGGACAGTGCAATTATTATAGAATACAAACACAAAAGAAAATTATATATAAATATAGGTATGGAAAAAATGAAATAAAGAGTCAAATAAAATGTGCAGGACAGTATACTGTAGACTTAATAAATATTTTTTAAGATAAGATGAGCATGAATGTGCAAACAGGTTGTACAGGGTAGTTACGCAGCAGCAATAGAGAGAGAAAATAAACAGAAAGTGCTGTGTGCAAGTGACAATGTCAGTATATTGAATATCTTACTGATTATTAAGTGTTTGGGTTTAGGAGCCTGATGGCTCATCGAGTCTACATCGAGTTAAACTAAAAGAAAATGAATCAAAATATATATTTTTTAAATGTAATGTGTGAATATATATATATATATATATATATATATATATAGTGTGGG